TGGGGTGACGTGTCTGAGGGAGACTCAAATTGGTGCCAAGGCATCAGAGGAAAAGGACCTCTGAGCATGGGCAGAGTATTCTTCCCTTCACTATTTGAGAACCCATCAGGGTCAGTCAGGCATCAGAGATGACAGGTTGTGTTTTGGTTGACAGGGAGTCCCTTCCAAGCCCAAGCCCGCCTGGATTTATGCATGATGGAGGGGGGCTGAGCTGGGCTAGTCAAAGTCCATAGTGGCCATCAGAAGGTGCCACAGACCGGCCAGAGGATCTCTCTCGTGGGCCCAGTTCTGCTCCCTCAGATCTACTGACCCTGGGTGGGGGCAGGGGGACACCTGTGCAGAGTCTGGTTTGGTTTTTCCGGCAGGGAAGATCCAGGGGAGATGGACTGGAGGGGGCCCCTGTGTTGGTCCCCCTGGAGGCCGTCTCTGCAGGCCCTCCTTGCCCCCCCCCTGTCTCTCTCGGTAGTCATGGAGCCGCTCCTCCTTCCCCTGGGCTGCTTCTGCCCACGGAGGGGCAGCCACTCAGGGGTCATCTTGATTTCCAGAGCCAAGGGTTCGAGCTGAGCTACCTGGCCAAGGTGTCAGAGGTGAAGGACACGGTGCACCGCCAGACCCTCCTGCATCACCTGTGCCACACCGTGGTGGAGAAGTTCCCAGAGACAACTGACCTCTACTCGGAGATTGCAGCCATTGCGCGCTCGGCCAAGGTGCGGTGGGGCTTCCCCTCGCTTGCGTGTGCGAGGCTGTGCTCTGGGAGTGGGGGGGCATCTCTCTCTTTGGAGCCCTGCAGGACGTGGGTCACTCAGAGGCCAGAGGGCACTTTTGCTTTCGCTCCCCAGGTGGACTTTGATGAACTGGCGGAGGGGCTGGTCCAGCTGGAGCGAAGGTGCAAAGCCTCCTGGGAAAGCCTGAAGGCCATCGCAAAGCACGACACCAAGCCGGCCCTGAAGAGCAAACTGGTGGACTTCCTGCAGGCCAGCACCCAGAAGATTGTCATCCTCAAGGTGGTCCACCGACGCGTGATGAACAGGTCCGTCTGCC